TAGATTTATGGGCCCTCTCCTCTGTCTAACCAATGAATTTGTCTACCTAGGAGTCAGGTCATTCATTAACTAATAAAAGTAATTAAACAAATAAATACTACCTGAGGGCCTATTCTATGCTAGGAGCTTTGGTTCTAGGCACCAAAGAGTCAGTGGCAAGCCAAAGCACTAAGTCTTGCCTTCATGGCACATATAACTCTGGTGAGGGCGACAGATAAAAAACAAGTAAATATATAATATGTCAGGTGGTGATAAGTGCTATGGAGGAAAAAAATCAAGCAAGATCAGAACAGGAAATGCAGAGGTGAGGGAGGCAGCAGTTTGAAGGAGGATGATCAAGTCTTCATTAAGAAGGCAGCATTTGAGCAGAAACCTGACTGAAGTGAGCAAATAAGTGGAAGAGACATCTAGGAGAAAGAGTGTTCCACGCACGGTGAACCAAAAAAAAAAAAAAGGAAAAAAAGAAAACTCTGAGGTGAGAGCCAGCTTGGTGTACCTGAGAAACAGCAAGAAGGCCAAAGAGATTGCTGTAGTGTGAGCAAGGGGACAGAGGAGATAAAGTGAAGAGGAACTTGGGGAAACTTATAGACCATTTTAAGGGTTTTGGTTGTTATTGCAAATAAGATGGGAAAGTTTTGAGCAAAGCAGTGATGTAATATGACTTACATTACATTTAATATTTATTCTATGCAACTATTCTAACTATTGGAAGATACCTCCGTGAAAAAAATTAAGTGCCTTCCCTGAGAGGGCTCACGTTTTAGTGGAAATATTTTAAGGTTTGTATTTAGTGGAAAGTTTACATATGACTGAAGTAGGAGCTCTGGTGCGTAGTGCCTAAGGCACTTGACTGCTAATCAGAAGGCTGGCGGTTCAAACCCACCAACCACTCCTTGGAAGGAAGGTTGGGCAATCTACTTCCGTAGTGATACTGCCTCGGAAACCCAAGGAGGGCTCGCTATGAGTCGGATCCGACTCGACGGTACATAACAACATAACAACAATGAGAAAATGATGAAGCAGGGGCTGGTAGTACTTTAGATAGGTTGGTCAGGGAAGTCCTTTCATGAGGTAACATTTGAGCAGAGATGTAAAGGAAGACATGGATAAAGCCATGAAGATATCTAAAGGAAGAGTTGTGCAACCACAGGAAACATCAAGGGCAAAGGTCCAGGAGCAGGGGCAGGAGCATGTTAGCTATTTGAGGAATAATAAGAAGGCCCACTCAGTTGAGGCAGAGTGACGGAGAGGAAGGAACATGAGGATAGGGAAGCAAAGAGGGACCAGATCATGTAGAGGCTTATAATCCTCTTAAGACAATAGGTAACATTGAGTAAAAAAATGGATTGGGGAGACTTCCAGTAAGATGGAGGAATAGGCAGACAAGTGACACAGACTTCTTCAACAAAGAAAAGAAAAACCAATTGACAGAGATACAGAAGATAATCCTGGAACCCTGAACTTTGGAAGGAACTATACAGAAGTGGATTAGGCACCAACTAGTGGAAAAACCTGAATAAAAACAGGGAGTACAGAGACGGTCGGAGCTGCGGACTGTCAGCAACTCTGACAAGACCAACAGCCTGAACATTTCCAAGTAGTGCTGGGACCTGAGAATTGACCTAAAGATTAGTCCCAATCACCAAGGGCTGCAGGGACAACTGCCCTAGTGGCCTATGACTAGGAAGGGAAACAGCAAGGAGGGAGACACCCTGAGCTGTCGACTTTCTGCTGTCCAGAGGGTGCAGCCATTTTGAATGTTTACAAGTGGTGGCCATTTTGGATATTTAAAGTGACCAAGGGCACAGCTATATTGAATATTTACAAGTGGCAACCATTTTGGATTTTAAAGTGATACCATTCTCATTCAGATTCCAGGGACCTAAGAACAGGCTCTGTTTGCCAGGGTCGGCAAGGACATATGAAAGGCTGACAAAGGAAAGGAGACAGGT